TGGCGGCCGAAAAAAATACATCAGTCATAACCAAGTGAAAATAGGTCGACAATTACTGGTAGTGTATACTTATCTTTATCTAGCACTATTTTGAGATTATGGTCTTAGTTTGTAAATGCACAATGTTAAAATGGGCTAAAAATAAAGTTTTAAAAAGCCCTCATAACTTTAGAATGAATCAAGATTTTTTTAAACGGCTTACGGCATTGTAATCAGGGTAAAAATGTAGTTCGAAATAATGGGTCACAACCCCACCTTTACATTTGAAAAAAAAATTTTGCATCCAATATGGCGGATCCAAGATGGCGGCCGGAAATGGCCACCTTGTCAAAATGAAGTACTTACTACCCAACAATGTTTGAAAGTGGTCTGGGATTGATATTTGAAAAAATGTAGAAAAAAGTTGGGGGGGGGGACAATTAAAACTCACCCTGTATATGTTACCTTATTTTGGGCGTGTTTTGTATGGCTGTTGCTGAAGGTAGTTCTTCAATACGGTAAAAAAATTTGCTCGTCTAGCTGAGCTAAATTAAGAGCCCGTCAAATATTGAGAAACGTATGTGGACTTTTTTTGATGGTTAAAAATGAGGTTGAATTTTTCTTGATCCTATAGTTCAGGCTAAACTCTGTGTCTTAGTCATTAAACGTTTCAAAGGCGAGGTTCTTGGTGATTGACGGGATTTGAACCAGAATCTTCAGAACAGAATGTCCGAACTTTAACCTTTACACCGACCTCTACGGTTACGTCGGGTTGACATAAAGACAGACATATGACAGACAGGAGACAGAGAAGGCGCGTCAGTGGAGCAAAACCAAGACAATTCACCTGGGTCCGCCCTTTGCAGGAATTCGGGGCCAGGGTCGGTATTGGGCTAGTGCTGTAGCTTCTCAGTTTGCTAATTTTATTTTTGGTTCATTTAAGTACAGAAAACATCTTACGGTAACATTTAACATTCTTCAAAACACGTGTTTTATAACCACTTAATGTTTTGCATTCGTTTTTCACTAAATTGGGTACAGAGAAACGTTCACCTTACTTTGAGATTTCAACCAAAGAAAAAAATCACTCGTTTGTTAATCTATTTCTCAACTTAACTGGCAATTCTTAATTTGGGTTCAGGTGTCGAATTCAGTCTTTGGTTTTAATAGATGAGGACAGGTAGTATTTTAATAGATTTTTTTGCACTCCCGATTTTTGTATTTAAAGTAAGCCTACTAAAATACAATTTTAACAATGTAGCGTCGAGGTAAATGCATAAATACCATATAATGTTCAGCAACGTGCATTGTGTTAGTGACATTGTATACACAATCAAACAGTTTCCCGCAAAACATATCCTGTGGCATGTTGTACTTTTATATTATCTCAATGGCAAATTAATCAAGTTATTCATAGGAACAATATTTTTATGATGAAATTTATTGTTTACTCTAGTGTTTTTGTTGTTTTTTTTCAATGGAGATTCTGATATCATCCCAACACGGTTGTAAGCCGGATCGGCTGGCAGGGATTTGTGATTGAAAAACAAACATCTCTCGTTGCGGAAATATACACAGTTGGTTTCCCAACGCGAAAGCTATGTGGGAATTGTTTCCTATAAAAAGTACTGTTACTTAAAGAGTCAATAGCTTTTTGTATCACCGAAATTGTGGAAGGTATATTTTACATATTAAGTAACGTACAAAAGAGTAATTTTATTGAGTACGTGAATGACTTAACTCTCAAAATTCTCTACTTATACCCCTTACACCTCAAAACATTGCTATGGCCGATAATAAAACTACATCACTTAATTAATCTCAATTTAATTGGGATACAATTTATTAACTGGGCTACCTTAATATCGATTGAAAATATCGATTAACTATCGATATTTTAATAATATGTGTGGTATTCCTAGTTTCAAGAACAAATGATTAATTAAATTCGTTTACCTTATGGTCGCCAGGTTCTGGAAGATTGTAGATGTCTATGCTCGACGTACATTTCGCCACAAGTGAGGCATCTTCAGTAGCAAAGTTTGTTACTACATCACTTTAAACACAAACAGTATTTTATAATCTATTATTTACATTATCGGTTTATGGTCGTAGGAATCCGAGGTTGCGAGGGCGTGCGCACTTTTAACATGTGTCATCTGACTGACTGGTAGATATTTTAAACTACCTATATCAATTATAAAATGAAACTGTTAAAACGAATCAAAGGTTACTAATCAAATCGATATTTTTAGTAGATATTAGGAACTGTTAAGGTACTGTACCCTTAATTTGTATTTAATTACCACAATGGTATAACAATTCACTGATAAAAACTTAATAGTTTAGTTAAAAATGGTACGTATAATGTGTACATTTAAAAGAAGGTGAATGTATTTATTTTAAAGATGTTCAATGACGACTCATCTTGACCAGTCAACCCGGTTTCGGATATTCCGATTGGGAATTGCTTGAAATTTATTGATATTGTAATATTTTCATATGTATTTAATAAATTATAAGGGATTACATCATACGTAAGGGTCTGAAAATGTTACGAAACGTTTTTATCATGATAAGCAATAGAAAATCACCTAACTTTTCATAAGTTAAACAAAACGTCGATATACACACAAAGTTGTTTAGAATTAAAATCTAATTATGTAATCATGTTGTATTTTGGCGGCGAACAGGTTGTGACGGTGTGAAATGAAATCCGATTAAGATTCTAAGATAATTCAAATGCGAACTGATAAATGGTAATGTAGTCATCAAGCTGACAGAGATCTGGGTATCTACCTACGAGAATAAAGATATCAGGAGATCTGGGTATCTACCTATGAATATCAAGATATCAGCATCAGGTTTCTGGTGCTCCTGATATCCGACTAGGATAAGGATATCAGGATAGTTAGGAGGCAAGGTGAAGAAAATTACAACCAACAATTAGGTTAACACTGTATATTGCAACAGTTCATCGATTTTATAAGATGGGGTTTTAATTTATAATTTTAATCCATAAGTTTATTTAATTTTTTTAGTATGTTGAGTTTTTGTGGTAAGATTATATATTTTCTCGTAATGTATGTTGTCCGTCCTCATACAACAGCCTTCAGAACGTATCAAGCTATTCAAGGTGTATAGTTTTACTTAATGTATTTTTTTTGTGCGAAAGAGTATTTCCAAGTAAGGGGGAGTGGGAAATGTTTGGGCTATAAACACACAAAGGATTTGAAGCATTTGACTAACTAAATTGTTAAGGTGTGCAATATTTAATATTTAGTTATTAGTTAGGGTTTAGGATTTGTTTATAGTTATTTAAAGAATTTCGTGGAGTGACCTTTTCCCGCCCAAACCCCAATTCTAGATCCACCACTGGACTGGTACCAACAAATTAATAATTATTAATAACATTTATAACTGTAATGGAAAGTTCTACAGTAAAAAACACATTAAAAATATACGTTAAATTTTTTGTGTTAAAATAGTTTTCCCTCCTTTTACATATTATCTCAAATTAACTGTATCCATTCGACTAGCTCGGACAACCCAAAAATATCACGTATTATTTCGTCGTTAAAATATTAACCAAGCTTCCAGAGAATATTAAGTAGGTCTACATCCCGAATCTGCGAAATGATTTCGTCACAAGATTAAGCCGCTCTGATAAGTCTCAGCCGTGTTCCAAACACCAACAAATCATTGTATAATGAGTTCGCTGCCTGAACTTTATTAGAAGAGATTATAACCCACATGTTTTGACAGGACGGCCAATATTTCTAGACCAAACCTAAACAAGACATGCAACAGCTACGGTTTAAGGTTAGGTAAAGCTCTGAGTGTTAAATTTAAAGTTTGCTCGTCAAACTGTAAGTTTCGGTTGGTTTGATACTAAATTAGTTGCGGAGTTGAGTAAAGTTTTAAAGACATATTGAAAATAATAATAATAAATAATGAAACTGCAACGAATTGTGGGAAAGCTATCAATAATATTGATAGAATGTAGAATATTTTGTAACATGCCATGGTTATAGATCTATCACATAGGTCATTACAGAAGTTTCACCGCAAAGGGATCGACGGTTTAGTTTATAAGGACAAAAAGTTAGGTTATGAAATGGAATTACAACATACTTTATAAGCCATACAAGTTGGATTTTTTCTAAAAAGCTTCATAATGGACGGAGGATTTACTTTGCTTATAAACATCTTGGACTATAGTTAAGTTAAATAATCATTACATGGTTTGTAAATATATCTACTGTCAAAAAATTATTAAAACATAAATGCCGTTTTCTAGGTAACAGTTTTACATGTGAATAAGGTTTTCATTTAGGGTTTATAGTCAATAATAGTATAATATTCTAACGTACTCTAACAAGTACATCTTTTACCGACTCTTTGCAGTCCATACCACAACAACCTCGATAGCACAACTTATATAATGACTTACTTATGAACCCCTCTGTATAAAGCTACTCGGTGTTTCTTATATGTGTAAGACTGTGGTGTGGTGTAGTAGCCATGATTATTAAACACGATGTATCATGTTCAGGATTAGCCATTCGTAGGATATGGAAACAACAGAACAGCATTACTAAAGTATCGAATATCAAGAGGATCGAGTTTGCAGACCATAGGTCTCACCAATGGCCTTCCTGAATTATAACTGTACTTGTACAACATTTAAAACACTATTTACGCTTATACAGACAGCGGTTGATATAAATTGAATAATTAAATCGTTCCAAAATAGACTTTTTGCAAATTTGTTTCTTAATTAAAAAGGTATTTATAAATTGTGAAAATAGTACTGATTTCTTTATATTATAATTTTCACTGTGGATGATTTTGAACTCCAATTAAGATGGATTTTTGAGAGTGTAGGGTCTACTGTTAAAAGGTTTATATTACTGTTAATTTGTTAATTATTCATTTTATTTGTAAAATATAAATAAGACTCATAGTGTATTAACTATATAACCTAGAGTATTATTTCTAATGAAATGTTTTTGTTCTAGGGACGAGGCTGAGGAGAAAAGGTAATTTATACTTCAATCGCAGATTTCACGTTATAATTTATTTATTTAGTATTAATTTTAACCCTTCACAATGAATGGAAACTAAACATTAGAAGACCTGGGTCTGCTAGAAATGGTAATAAGTCTTTGACTTTGTTATTTATTTAACAGTTTTGGTTAAATAGGTTATTCAGCAATGGGTAAAATCATGTACATCTTCTAGAATAACAAATTATTATAGAACTCTAGATAAAAATATACGACTATCGACGTGTTATAATCGTAACATGTGTTACACTATCGTAATACACTATCGCACGATGTGTCGACTATCGTAATATGTGTTAACGTAAAACATTTTAACTGCGCAACTTTTATTCGGCATACAATAAACAAGTAATATTATTGACGCTGTAGTAAATGAATATAATTAAATAAGTAACTAATTACTGAGAAAGATGCAAAATACCTTTAAATACTCCGAAACTGGCCCTAGCTGTCCTTGATCATTGGAGTTATAATAAAAAGTACTAGTAAGAACTGATCTTATGTAGTAACAAAAGTGTCACCTCGTGCATTTAACACCCATGCTCAACTCTTTGCCAAGAACAAATATATCTTTATATCTTCATAGCTTATTAGCATCGCACAGATCCAATCTTTATTGTAAAATTTTCATCAATTGATATTCGTTTACAATTTGTAAAATAATCTGATACATTTCTTTGACCAACGTTTAAATCTTAATTTCCAAAAATAAATATTCTGTTCATCTAAAACTTCTTTTCAAATCTTGGTTACGTAAAACTCCCACCTTCCTCGGCCCTCCTATTCAGACAAAAATGAAATGTTTTCAGTTTCAAGATGACAATAACGCTCTGACGTCACTTGCTGACACAGTTCTCTAACGTATGTATATGCATATGAATGGTGTTTCTTGTTCTTCACTAGCTAAGTATAGAAATGGCTCGAGTGTCGTGTGCAGGAAATGGACCGGAAAATCGCGGAGTCTAAAAGATAAGTAACTCTTGTACTCCTTGAAGACCTCACGCAGCTTGCGAAATCTGCTGCGAAAGGTGTTGGTGGCATTTCCATAGCCTGAATCACAACCAGTGGTTTACTGGGTAGTATTCGTAACTTTAAGGGATAGGGTGAGATGATCCGTGTTACTGACTAAGATAAGCTGTTCCTTAAGCCAAAAACATTTTTTAAATCCCAATAATCAGGAACAGCTGTGTTCATTTTCGAACCTTCAAAAAAACTATTGCGTTTTCTCAGGATTGAACCGGCAACCTTTGATTGTTATGTGAGCTGTGAGCATTACAGCCACTGGTATAAAGGAGTAGGTACGAGCAAACTTGTAGTCAACTTATACATCCTGAACTGCGTAGGTAGATAATTGTTCTTAGGAAAAAAATATTTTAAGGTTCCATACAGCAGGCTAGCTTAGTGTTTGAACTACCCTAACAATAAACGGATAACTAATATACCTATACCAATACTAATACTATACTATACTAATACTAATAACCTGTTCGATCGGGTAGACTTCCGTATCTGTTGGCACAAACAACCGAATGAAAATATTGATTATTCCATTGTTTCATTCGATATATCGATCGGTATTTTGATTCGGTTGTTTGTGCCAACAGATACGGGAGTCCTGTTCGATCATTAGAAAGTCGGTATTTTTTTATGTTCAAAACCACGAATATTAGAACAGAAACGGCATGACATAAATATAAACATATGGTAACACTGACCCGAAGGTAAACATGAGTAACTGTCAAACCAGTCGTTATAGCTATGAAAGGCATTCGGGCCAATAGCGTAATTCGCATATTGTTTTTGTTAATGATCCATACCGTCTCTGTTCTAATGTTCGTGTTCAAAACTAAACCTAGTAGTCCATGATAATTGATCCATGTTTTGATAAAAATGACCCTGGCTATAAGTATCTGATCTTTACCAATAATAGACTCAGAATAAATCTTGCACTTCATTCGAATTTTACTTCAGTTTCATGTATAGCATTCAATTATAGATTATTGAACGACAGGTAGGAAAGATTCTACATTAAGCAATAAATTTCCCTTCTAGTTTGGTTTCGTTAAAAGGTTTACGTATTCGACAAAGATCTGTGGCTCGATTTGACTACGGTCAGTTCTATTCCAAAACTACCTAAAAATAGTAATCTAATGTCGAGTTAATCCATAGTCGGAAGTATTACCTAAGCCACTGTTAGATGTTCCACAAATGTCATTTCTCGATTACCACAACCAGTTACCTGCATTTCCTGACTCATTACGATATTCAGATACTGGAATCGCATCGAACAATTACGTCCTAATGGAAGTTGCAGAGATTAAAAGGGTCGCCAAATCGATAAACCAATACCGCAACCACAGAACAGAATGTGTGAGAAAGAGCTGAAACTGGCTGTAACGCTCTCTTTGTTATACGCGTTCTATGGTGTGAATAACTTTATTGTTGTTGGTAAAATATCATCTCTCAGGGACCAACATGTAGGTTTTTAATCATTCATCCTCTGAAGATATTATTATTTTTTTATATAAAGTAACTTTGAGACTTATTGATGTTTCGTTTTTAATGTCTGATTTGAGCGTTTATTAGTGAATCAATGGGATTTGCATTTTTAGTTTTTTTTTTTAGGAACGGGATGAACCCTAGTCTTGTTACTACTTAACATAAACTTGCTAGAACGTATTATTGATTGATTATTTTTATATAACTATAATAAACTTAATAACAATAACATATGGCTTCTGGGTTCTGAACCAGTCTTGCTTGGCACCAAACTATTGTAACTCGGCTACCCAGACAGTTGTATCCATATTTACGATAGTATTCGTACTTTTATTTGTATATATTGTATTGACAACTAAGTAAAATCATGTTTAAATATAGCTAAATTTATAATATAGCCTATGTGTTTTTTTTGTTTGTAGAACTTTCTATAATAGTTTCTTTTACCTTATTTATTTTACAATAATTAATTGTTTTCAAATTCTCCAATTTTACTACCGTTACTTAATTTTGTCGGATAATATGGATTATTAAGTAAAGTATATTATAAAAAAAATTAAACTTTTATTAGAGTCATTTTATATGAAATTTAGCATCTGAACTTGGGTTTTAAGTAATGAGTCCAGTTTTAATAATAATGAAACTAACTAACAATCGTAATCTACGTTCTCATTTTAGTCTCTGTTCTGTAAATTTTCTTTTCTTTTGTAATATTCCAGATAACACTAGACTACTAGATGACTTCTTCCAATTGTTCATAACTAAATAATTGAATCGAATCAGATTTGTTAAATTAGTTTGATCCGCTAAAAATATGTACTTGATAAGGAGATCATAATGTTTATTTAAATGGTGTTTTTGTTTTTTTTTTTAGCAAAAAAGCTACTGTCATAGGCTGCAAGAAAATCAATAAAAATCCGAATCAAGATGCATTCAATGCTAAATATCAACAATATATGATATTTTGGTGTGTTGTCCTATTAAATAATGATTTTATTTCTTATGTCTTATTGAAAACATTGAGAAAATACTATATATAAGAGATTGACGTACATAAGTAATATAGCCTTAAATAATTCTTGAGTATATTGGCCATTGGCAGTGTTTGACACCTTAAAAACCAAGACAGCATTCTGAGGGAATTGCCTCGCGCTGGAAATGGGCCAACCGTTGACTTCCATCCACACTATAGCAAACTGTCATTTAAACAGCTGTTTCGTGGTTATATCACCCATAAACTTGGGTTTACTGGTTGCATTACTTTTAGCTGAGGTTTTACCCTAGTAAGGCAGCAAATGTATTTGCTTGCTTCTAGACAATCGTGACTTTACTATTGAATTGTTTAATGACCCTATTGTGCTTTATGTCCCTTTATAAAATAATGGAAACTGATATAGAATTATACATCGAACTATCAATTTTATTGTAAAATCACAACAGGTAGGAACAAGTTACAACGAATATGGTTAAAAAATAGTGCACCTCAATATTGCTAGTAAAAAAATCGCTATCGAAACGAGTATTTTTTGTTACTATGAGACTGCCGCGATCACGTTTGAATCTGAAGGCTTCAGGTTTAACTACAAACGAGATTTATTCTGCATCTTGACACCATTTTGTCATTTGGCTAATTAATGATGATCTATCATGGGGTGAACGTTAGAGCGTAACAGGACCAGGGTTTGGGCGGTTTCTTACATAAATCTTTGGAAATTAAATTACAATGACTTAAATGCACCATACCGCTATTTAAAACACATTTAAAACTCAATAATAATCATTTACTCATTTGTCGTAGTTAACCTTAATATAAAAAGTAATATTTTTGATAGAAGGTCACACGAAAAATATTTTTGATCTCATAGCTTTGAAGTCAGTAGCAATATTGCATTTGCAGAACCAATTCCAACGCTATGTCGCGTCATAAGGATCCAATTATGTTTGTGGTATATAAAGTAAAGGTCAGAATACAAACATGTCCAAATAACTTCCAATCACAGCTTTAAGATCGTACCCCCTCGACTTTGTTAACTTTATCTGCTATTGTGTCCCGAGAGTGTATTTCTCTCTGGTGTTTATTCTCCCTCCAAAATAACTCAAGTCCGTCCTTTTGGAGGGAACGTATTTCTAACTCAATTGCTGCTTCATTAATTCCTCAGCTTATTTGGTGTCACTTGATTAGTGTGAAGGAGTTAGTCGGTTTGATATCGTTGATCATATTGATACAAATATTGATCACATTTTTATGTAACCTACCGTATTACACTAGCAATAAAACAATTACAAAACGTATAATAGTCAGTATAGAGAGTGATCTGTTTTGAATAAGATTTTCTTAAGAAAATCTCTTTGTGATTAGCACTCAAACTAAAGCACTTGTGAAATGGCTTACATAGTCCATAATCAATACTCAACACTCCATACTCATTACTCCGTACTCCATACTCCATACTCCAGATATCGTTTTTATGGAG